TCGCGCCAGCCGTCTGCGCCCGATCCCGCCTCAGGTCTTATTGACTCTATCTGGATACCGGGCAGGGGTAGGTGAGGAAAGAGCGAGTGCGGTAGATGCAGTATAAGTCTACCATCAATTAAAACTAACTTACGCGCAAGCTGCCGCCATGCTGTGGAGCGGAAGGTGGACCTCATCAATTACGATGGCTGAACTCTCGCGCAGTGGAGACAGTTTGAAACTACCTTCGTATTTCTGGTTGAAGGGACGATGGCAGTGGGGAGCAGTATGAAAGGAGTGCCAGCCCCGACGACTTTGATATTAGTGGTGTAGTTTTGCATAAGTGAGTGTGGGTTTATCGTTGGGGGAGGGGAGTTAAGTTATTAAGGTGAAACCCTAGCAGCTGCGATCTTCAGGCCCGGTTTCTTAGGTGCAGAGAAAACGGCAGGAGGCCAAAGTGACAATAACATTGTGTCCTGTACAGAAGGAGTGAAGAATAGAAAGGAGGAAGTCGGCTGTCGGACGAACGTAAGTCTGTACTCCAGCGGAGCAGAATCCGAAGTCCTAATCTGACGATTGTAGGCCCGGCGGCCACCGAGAGCGGTCTTTGCCTTAGTCAGCCTTGAACGTGACTGGTCAGATCGGAAAAGGCCTACGGTGTGCGCGTGCTTGTTGGCCGTGCGAGACAAGCATGTGACTGGCCCTAGAGACGCTCCGAGAAATGTAATTGCGTGGCCTTATGCAGACGTGGCATGAGAGGTAACTAAAGGCTTGGTATCCTGACATTTTATCTAGTCCGAAGCTGTTTGACGAGTGTGCTCTACGAACCACAAAATCACGATGAAGAATAAAGTCACTCTTCATTAACAAACCACATTTGTAGCTTGTGGTAAAATAAATACTTAAAGAGAGTCCCTGTGTGCATTTAAGAAAAAGATGTGACCCGATTTTTTTTCCAGGGTATGATTCATTAATACAATCATTTTTACTTTCCAGTCGAGTTTACAGTCACGCGGCGTCACACACTCATTTTACTGCTATATTCTCAGGCGGTTATCTCAAAATTGGGGCTTTGGCAGATTTTAATAATTCAGTTGATCCACTCCTGGAATACTCGGTGGGATCTGATTCAACGCCAGCAAGGAGAAGGCTTCAGTATGGCCAACGCTCTAGCCCACTGAGCTACGAGGCTCCATCGGGAGCCGTGAGTTTAATCACATTTGGGTCAAGTTTGCTAAAAGGGCTGATT